TCAGAGCTGCTCTCTCCCACCACTGCACTTCAAGATGGACTGGTTTCTTCGTGCTTTTGGCTCATCGGATACAGTTAGCCTTAGGACCAAATGATGTAGTATTACTGCTCACTTCAGTAAGTCTGCATTAGCACCTGCCTTAAATACCCCAAGCCACCACAGTTTAATCAGGGCACGTTATTTCAAGAAAGCTTCACATATTACCGACGTTATGATTGGTGTCTTTCTAAGCATCCAACCCACGTAAACTCGCTAGGTGCGCAGTCAACGAACGGTCGTACTGTATCGCATTAGTTATCTATTTCATATCAACGGATTGCAACTGGTGTTCCAACAATACCTGAATTCACTATTATATGTACAGACATAGTTGCATTAAGTCCACATCGTAGTCTAACTTCAGGTCGAGGTAACTTAACAACACTTAACGGAAGATCTTTGCCTATCTGTCTACCGCAAAATAAGTGGTGATTCCGTTATCACTATCTCTTTTTCCATCAGCTGAAGGGATGTGCTGAACTCTGCACGGTCGCCCAATTTGAATGGGGGAATATCAGGTCACAACTCGCCGAAGAGAATATCTTTAGCCGTCATACCACTGCTAGTGGTCATTTTTACGTTAGCCAGGGCGAATCTGTAGCAGTATGCTCGGCTTCTACTGGGTTTAAGTAGGCTTGCTTCTGCGATCACCCGGGCAGCGACCCAGTCATCACTTATGACTTTCCAGCCTCCAATAACGCAACCGTCACTACCTTGGTCGGGGTTTCTCGACTACTAACCTAGGTCAGAATATCACTTGGCCCTGGTGCCCACCGTTGCCGGAAGTCCGTTTGCCTTCATCTACACAGAAATATTTTGGCAATTCCCCACCTTGAAAGGAGTATATGGTCGGAGGATATTACAATCTGCAACAATGCTTTAAACCGATAGCACCACAATCGGTATAATATCATTTCCCTCGTTCCTCGCCTTCCCCTAGTCGCACAGCATTATAATCCAGTTTCATCCTACTATTTTGAGCACATTCAGGGAGTTTAAGTAGCTCGGTTAGTGACGTTTTAGATCACTCATTGCACTTGTACCTACCCGTCTTACGTGCAGCACATCTGTCTTATGTGAGCTAAATTCTAGGCTATGGAGGTGCTTGACTTTGCCGACCGTTCACACCAGATGGGAAACTCCATCCGCCCATCCTCAGATGAATTGGAAATATCTGGAAGTTATTTTTTTGAAGTGACTGTCGATCTCGCAACAAGGTAACGGTTCTATCTTTTTTTTCCATTTCTAATTTCCTACAAATACAATGCTCGGCAGCAACATGTATTTTGTTGGCAGATATCGCTCGATACTTGTCGAGCAAAGCGACATATCTAACACAGTCCCAAGTCGATTGTTTGTGTCATAGTTGTTTTAATATTGGCGTCTTGCATCAGGTAAAGCACCATGAGCACTAGCTTATTTGCTCTGCCTTGCGAATATTGGCAAAGACTTCTTTTACTCCCATCCTGACCATATTATTTCGGCTGGTTCACTTGCAAAACTGTAACTTAATCATCTTCGGTCTCTTTCAGAGGTTGCCCAAACACGACATTACCAGTCAAGGAATAAATGGGAATTTGGTGCCACAAGGCCACTTAATCTTGTCTTCTGGGATTGAACTTCTCCTAGATACTATTCCGATCAGCAAAGTAATCCCGCCACAGCATTCCAACAACTATCTCAATCTCCTTGTTGCATTTAGATTTCTAGTGACCTCATTACTTGCAGCATGTGACTGCAATTTTTAGAGGAAGTGGCTGCAACATCTTTCTCCCTGACACAGAACATAAAGCTTATACTGAATCCATGTGTGCTGTATCTAAGAGCACATTTCCATATGTCTACTCCATTGTCGCGTGCTGCAAATGCCTCACCCTAAGCATTGGTGGAACTTGGCTACACCCCTGTTTCTTCGCGAAATATCTACAAAAAGCGGAAGCTCGCCACCACAACTTTGATCAATCAACACAAGCCCTCCATTCTGCTATTCACCACTTTTGGCCCACACTAGGAAGCCTCATGTTCAGGAACAACCCTACTGACAAGCTCATTCTCGTCTTTAATTCGACCTCTAGCAAATACTCTCTTCCACAGAATGCACATATACATCGCCATGCAGATCACTGTCTGCATAGGTCCGGTCTCTGATGTCGCTAACATGTCCATGACGCCCTAACGTTCTTTAGTGTCTCAATACAGTCATGAAATTGGCCTAGGCCTAAAACGAAATCCACAAGCGCTCCGCAGTTCACTTCAGTGCATCCAATTCCCACCTCTCTCTCAATCATGAGCGGATCAATCAGGTGTGCCATTGATATGCAGTCCGAGTATCCGATTGTCTGCACATAGCAGACGTAATTTCTTTTCGCACATCACCAGCGAAACTGGTTAACAAAAGTTTCGTTTGGCCAAAGGTGCACTTAAGTACTTAGACTCCCGTTCGTCTTTATGACCATCACTGTGAGGGTCATATACACATTCGAAGATTTTTGGGTTCACTACACTTCTTGGAAGCTCGGTTTTCACATATAAGTCTGTGGGATTTACATACATCAAGACATCTGTCGGTCGACGTCTTCGTTGACCCTAGGTCATTGACCAACGTGATTAATACCGCTATCTGCTCTCTTATGGACCACTGGGTGTGGCCATACGGAGACCCGTACACGAACGCTAATGAACACTGGACGCCTTTTGGATTTGTACGATTCCATACGCTTACAACCTCTTAGACTGCCACTGTAGTTCTATGATGACATAAAATGTCACAGCAAACGGACTAATGAAAGCGTTTGTGCGAAATATATGCTTCCCTATGCAACCCTTTCAATCTTGACACAAGTAAATATTTTTCGCTTCTCCTCCTAGACAGTTGCAGCTGACTTTTAGTGCGGTTCACCTACGCCAATACATGATAAAACGCTCAAGCTGCATGCAGAGCTCGTTGCAATTCTTGTATTCTCGTGCTCAACCTCACTAACATCCTATCCTCGCTATACCTAACAATTGCTCCTGAAAGCCTCAGAGGTACGTGGAATTGCAGTTTCCTAAATCGTTATTACGTCTTCCTTTGCCCAGCCTAAATGGATTGTAGCCAACAAACATTTACATTAGCCTTTCGGGGCTTTAGAATTGTTATGGAACTTTACATACTCGAGCAAAATAAAGCGTCCGAACATATGTAGGCCTTTGCTTCTGCAGAAATCACGTGGTTATACCAATTATGCCTGAACTGCCCTCACACCCACTCAGTGTATCTTGTTGCCATGTGACAAGTCAGGTTTCCATACATTAGCTCGTCTTTACCTTTTCTCAGCCATTTGAATCCATGGCATTTTCAAATTCCTCCTTAAGGAAATCATGCTACTCTATACATCTTTCAAGCAGGTCCATAAATCTTTCAAGCTAAATCCAACATGTGCAAACACTCCACAAATTTTCTTGCGGTTCGCTGAGTGACTAATCACAGATAAGCAGATATTATAACAGATGAGCACAGAGAGTGGGATGCTATTGTTTGCTTTGGATTTGGTTACTCAATGAACTCTAGCATTTCGGAGCGTTGGTACTCTCCGGATTCAACTGGAAAGCGTTATGGAGCGTCTTAAAATATTTATGGAGGAGGATGATTTCCTTAAGGAGGAATTTGAAAGCGTTATGGATGCAATTGGCTGAGAAAATTATAGTCATTGTTCGCTCCTGGAGTCACCATGTGCTGTAAACGCGTAGGTGCTACGCGTAGTTTGCCTTTGGCTGAGTTAGTAACAGCGCTCCCGCTGAAGGTCAGGTTCCTTAATCTCGCTGGTCGGCTTTGTGTACTTGGAGTTACGCATGCATCCGACTTGTGTCGTAACGCTAATAAACGGCAGTCGTGCATTGCCAACACACTGGATAAACGTATCGAGGCCGTTATCGGTCTTATTTTCCTTTACATATTCTGCGTGTGTGGCGATTGTATAAACCAATCAGTCTGTTTATTCGAATAGCAAGATTCAAAAAATTGGTGGCGGAGTTTCTGCAATCATGACAAAGCGCCTCGACTTTTTGAAACAAACGCAACAGCACCAGTGCATTTTGATGCCCACACCGCTTCCCAACCAGTAGATGTTACGGATGACAGCATCTGGGGGTTCCTTCACGATCCGTTAAACTTCAGCTACTTGAATAAGCATTAAAGGGACCTGTTCATGCTTCACTAGACCGGCCAACACCATAAGCGAAGAACAGTTACATAAGGCGAACAGTGTGTGCTTCAATGTTTCTATTTTTTGATGAGTAACAGTAAAGAATTAGACGACTAGAAGCAGTGGACGTGGTTGAACGCTTACCGTCATTGCAGTGCATATCACCACTTCGTCGTTGGATGTCAGTTTCCACTTTATGTTATAAGTCGACTGAAATTGGTGTAAGGAGAATGAGTTCAGCATACCAGGTCCAAAATACAATATACTTAATCGATAGACATGCTCACTGTCGATCAAGCGATGTACAAAACGACCATCGCGTATGTGTAACTAAATTAGTGACAGCCTCAACATTGCGGACTGCTTTGAATCATTCGTGTGCAGAATAAATAAAGAGCTGGAATACACAGAATACCGAAGGTCGTCTTATGATTAAGATATAGCCAACTGACTCTCGTTGGTTGAGCCATTTACACTCAGATCTTATGACATAATAGGCGTATTTACTTTGCTCTGTTGTAACCGGGTGCAGATATTTGACAATTAGCGAATCCCCTCAGCCGACTGGTTATTCAATTCAGAAATGGATGATGAAAAGTAAAAATGAGCCAAACGTACTGAGAGCTCTACTCTAGAGTACAGTGGGCTGTTTCCCAAATTTTCATGCAAACCCTGCTTACACATTGTCGTTTGCATCTCTTGTAGTATGAACACAGCGCGTACCATGTGATCTGTGATACGATCCAGTCACTGTTTTTTAGTAAATGTACAACTAACCGATGGCACGGACTCCGGGACGTCAATCGAATACGTGTACGTATACACTGTCCCATCGGATTGTAGAGGACAGCTGGGTGCGGTGGAGTCGCACAGGTCGGAATTGGGAAGCGGCACTGGCACATCAAACATAAGGAATTTCCAATAGAGTCCCGCTTCACCATCAGCGATTGCTCTTTCTAAGTGGAGAGAGAGAAAGGGTGAAATGGCACACAACTGTGCGATTGTTCATTCACTGCCAATGCCGAAGGTGGTATGTACTTTCCGCTTACCTGCGGTGAAGTTGATTGTCAGTCGAACGATTTCGCCCTTATACACCACGCATGGATCTTCTGCACAGGGAAACACTGATACGTTACGCAAGTTACCGACCACAGATCCTAAAATAAAGAGCAAATTAATCATTCATCAACTATCGATCCTGAAGGATGCATACTGTAGTTAGGATGCCGGATTGTCTTATCAGAATGGTTGCAATGTATAAGTATTCATTACATGAAGCTTTCTCCATGGAACTGTAAGGCACTCACCGCAGTCCTCAAACTGTGTGCTCCAGACGTCCTGAGTCCTCAGCATAAGCCCAATCAGCAAAAGTGTGATTCCGTGTAGCATGCTTAACTTACGTTTTCGTAAAATAGACAAACCCCCCAGTTAGGGTTACTATTTATAGATGAAGTTTGGCAAAAATGTTTTCAATGATAGACTAGACCATTCAAGATTATTCGCATCATCCGAGCGAACAGACAGAATATCATATGCCCTTGACCGACTCCGTAGTTGGCAACATCGTACGAGTCTCCACATAGCAAATTCCATTGTATACATTCGAACAAAGAGGGAGCGGCAGAAATCTGCTCAGGTGGTCAGGTGTTTCGGTTGACTGATGGTGATTTCGGTTAGAACACACTGCGTGCATTAGAAAGCCTTGGAAACAGTGGTGGGTGAGTTACGCGTTACAAAACCAACATCCGCGGCAAGCAGAATTAGGATCATTCGAAATGTGACTGTCAGGTCACAAAAAGCTCGTGAGTGAAATAAAATAATAAAACTTGTATTTGTGGTTTTAAAGAGTTACCGTTCGCACGAGGGGTTAGCTAGCTGCACGTACATATTGTTTCATTCATAAACGAAATGTGTAAGTTATGAAAAGTAATTGTTTACTACGGCTTGTGGCTGTCGTCTGTATTGCATTACATTGAGCAGAAGTTTTAACGTTTTCGTTAGGAGCGAGGAGTTTCGTAACGGACTGGAATATTAACTCTTGATATCAACTGGTCTTCTTTGAACAATGAACAATCATTTATGACGAGATTAAAGCAAGTTCTTGACAAGCCCCGTAGGATGATTACGGTGAATACTGTGAAATCTAATGGCGTATGAGTCATCTACCAATCCTCCATCGAGATAAATGCGTTCATAAAAATACGTTAATCTAAACCAAAAATCGAACAGAGACATCCAGAAATACACGGGTGCAGTGATCTTTGAAGTAAAACATGATAAAAGTAAAATATGATGGCTCACATATGTGCCGCCACCTTGGATCCATGTGACATAGAAATCCGGTAGAAGGACATGATTAGCCTAATCCAGATTAGGGTACTTCAGGTAACGAGGTGTTGGGAGCAAAGAGCAATATCCAGTGTTTTTTGACAATGTCCGGAATAGGGGTGGATACAGCTGACTTCGGTAGAGAGTTCCAGGGTTGGCAGACTCGAAGGGAAAAGTAATCGCGTCGACACTCTAAACGACTATATTGTTCTCTCGATTTCAAACCCCTGAGCTGCGTGTTGTGGCCAAGCTTCAGCAAGTGGCGGCATACGTGGTTGGGGTCACCCAGTATTTGGTACGTTACTATGAGATCGCCTCGCAGCCTTCGGTAGTATCTGCTGTAATCTCCCAGCAGCTTCAGCCTTCGGTGGTAAGAGTGAAAGCTCAGGCCCTGTACATTTTTTGTTTCTCTTCGTTGTAGTGCCTATAATGCTTATAGGTTCCTCTTCAACCAAAGTTGCCAAACTTGGATAGCCTATTTAAAGTAAGGACGCAAGTAGGAATCGTGCATCATTGGGAAGATTGATGGGTCAAACCTCCCGAATGCCCTTTGCAGCTTGCCAACGTGCTGGTTGCCTCTTTTCGCAACTACAGCCTATTTTGAACAGTTGTAGTCACTCTGTACCAGCACACCAAGGTCACGTTCCTGGGAGTTGTTTTGCAATCCGTGTGCCCCAGGCAAATACGTGTAGTCATGTCTAAGTGCACAGTGCGACATTTAGCCAAGTTGAATGGCAGGGCGTTTTCCACACTGCCAAGTTGGAAATCGTGTTAAGATTGTACTGGAGCCCTTCGTGGTCTTCAGGTCCTCTGATCATTTGCCATATCTTGACATCATCCACGAAAAATAAGAAATCGGAGGCAAATGATCTCGCTAAATTATTTATGAACACCAAGAATAGACGAGGCCCAATTACCGAGCCTTGTGATACACTGCACTCCAGATTAATTGCATCGGACAGAGGTTTGTGTAGAAACTTGCTTAGCCAGCTCGGGATTGGGTCACCAATGCCGTATGGGATGGGAAAAATACAGCACGAACGCCACTGAGATCGGCTCCTTGCCATATCAGCAAGTGTATCCAGCCAAATGTGTTCATCGTAGTTCGGACCCCAATCAAGGAGCTAAAACGTTCCAACTGAGGACAGCTCAGAAGTGATGGCTTTCATTCCTCTCGACTAAGTCATCGCTTAGCCACCTCTCCTCTTCTTCCATCCACACCCCCCGGCGCCAAACAACGCACGTGGCGGGAATCGGTGGGCTGGCATGCGTAACACGTGGCCGAGCCATCAGAGCCTGGTGCATGAAATAACGGTGCTGAGCGATTCATTTCCTCTTCCTGTACCGTAAACAAAGCGTCGAACACGCTCGTTGCTCACGCGGTGTTCCAAACAGATGTGTGCTAAATTGCGAAGGCACCGATGGTCGAACGTAACTAGACTCCTCAGATCCGCTGATCTAAGGGGCCAGGTTTCACAACCGTACAGTAGGGTTGAACGTACCGCTGCATTGTAAACTCTACCCTTCCGGGCAAGAGTGATGTCGCGCCCGCGCCATAAGTGGCGAAGATTAGCAAAAGCGCCCCGAGCCTTTGCTATATGGTTCGTGATCTCATCCTCAATCCCACGGGCGCTGATACAACTTCTCAGGTAGTTGCACTTTTCAACGACTTCTAGCTGATCCCTACCAACGGTCACCGTAGGAGGCGGTCCAGACCAATTTTGGAGGAACGATTTGCACTTCGATTGTGCAAAGCAAAGCCCGAAGTGACGGACAGCTAGTGCTAATCTGTCCAGTGCCGCTTGGACGTCTGGGAACTGTCACAGATTAGGGCAATGTCGTCAGCGTACTTCCAACTCAAGATAGTCGTTCTCCTGTAGGTAGATCCACACCTTCTAAGTCGTGTCCTGTGAACGCCGGTTTCCATGACTTCGTCAATAGGTAAGTTAAGAAGAAAGGTAACAGCGGGAATCCTTGTCGCACACCGCTGGAGACATTAAAGGGCGACGACAGCTTGCCCTAAACCCCTCATACTGTCTGAGCTACGCGGTATAATGATCGGATAATATTTACTTATTTCTCAGCTACACATTTCCTAAGTAGACAGCCCCAAAGTGCACTTCTTTCCACCGAATCGAATGCACCTTTGATATCGAGGAACACGACAACGGTGGGCCGTCAATAGCATATGACGCCTCTCCGACCACTGACGAAACCCGGCTTGCTCTTCACGAATATGACTTCCACAAGTACCAGACAGTCTGTGAAGGATTATAGAGGCAAGCAATTTGGAGGCGATGGAGATCAGACTGATTCCTGTCCATGGCTTCCGCATTCCGATCGTGAGCCTCCTTGAAAATTGGAGTATGACGGAGCGGCTCCAGTCGGTTGGGACAGTTTCCTGCTCCCACAGTTTCAGCTAGTAACTCGTGTAAATCATCCACCAGAGCAGATCCCCGAATCTTAAGGGGGCTGGAGGAAGATCATCTGGTCCCGCGGCTTTGTTTAACTTCAACAGTTCGATCTCACGTTCCACTTCTGAGCGAGAGGGTGGATCCAAAGGGACAGCCCAGGAAGCTATTCGTTCACTGGCCGGCGAAAAATCTAACATTTCTTTCAAAGTGCTCAGCCCAACGCACCAAGCATTTTGACAAGTTGTGGATAGGCTGCCCACTACCTTCCACATTGTTTCACTAACACCAGTTCTTCTGCTACCCATTTCACGTATCGGACGGAATAAGTTACGATGGTCCCCGAGGTCAGCGGCAATTTCCATCTCTGCTGCACGATAAGATCACCAGGTCTGGCGGCATCTCTTCAGGCTAGCACAGAGTTTTGTCGGGAACTGTTTGCGAGTTTCATTATGTTTGCTTCCTGCCGGAATATGCCGGTGAGCATCAATAAGTCCCAGAGACTGCGAAGAGATCCAACGTCCATGTTGGCGATTAGACTTACTACATGTGGATTTGCCTACTGCTATTTAGACTGGTGAATATGAGACCAGTGAGCTTCAAGTGCATCCAGTGAGCGATTACTCAACTCGCATGACAGCGTACTTTGATAGGCATTCACAACAGCTGGTTTGTCAGTGGCCCTTGGTGTCAATGCGCTCACAACATCGTCGTGTGCGTCCGCCAAAACGTCTCCGCATATCAGCACATTACAAGTGCATGATCGGTGTCCACACCTGTGCTCCAAATCGAGCGATAGTTCTGGACGCAGCTTCTCCATCCGTAACTACTCGCAATATGATCGATCTGCGTCCAAGGCTGGTTTCGAGGCTGGTGGGCGCCAAGTCAAACGTCTGGTGGGTGCTGTGTCGGTAATTAGTGCTCGCAAGAAATTAGCTGGCATCTTCACACAAATTAAGCAAACCGCTCACCGTTTTCATTACGGGAGCCTACATCATGTTGGTCGCCCAGAAGCAGTTCATCAGTGGATAATTTGCCAACTTGGGCGTTCAGATCGCACCAGCCAGCACAACAGTGTCCGTGCTTCTTCTGTGACGAAGGTCTGGTTCAATTAACGATAGAAGTTTTTTTTTTGCCGAATCATCCGCTGGTTTGTGGGTGCATAGGCAGCGTTAACGAATAGACACCATTTTAGTCGCGCGCGACTTCGAAACGCTGACGAGCCAGCCAATCGGACCGCAATATAAACGGCTACTGATTGGAATCCAATCAACCAGAGTAGCATCAGCCCGGGGACTCAGGTCAATAACCAACACCGGCTTGGCCGGTTCTCGAAACTGCATCGTCACTGGATAGGCGCAATAAGAAAGTGCTGCTATTGTCACCTGAAGGGGATCGCAGAGTGAGTACAGAGCTCGAGTCTTGCAGGCGAGTTATCGAAGCAGCAGATATCGATCGAGAGGGTCTATCTTGTTCGGACAAGTGCTGACGTCGACCAAGTTGTAGCAATGTGCGTACACTGAGGCATGCTCATCTAAAGATGATCGAGAGCTGCAAATAAAAGTCTACGCAATGGGCTGGGGCCGTTGGTTGGACATGGGCTTGTCATCAGGA